ACAAACACAACAACAGCAGCAACAACAACAACGACGACGACGACGACAACGACAACAACAACAACAACAACAACAACAACAACAACAATTACTAGCGCGTGGGGACACTCCGTTCTCACCAGTGCCAGGGTTTTCATAGGAGGCGGGCAATACCCCCACTTTGTGGGGGGGCCGGTTCAAGCTCTACCAATTTCCAAACGACTCTTCGCCACCACCCACACCCAGCTTCCCGCCCTATGACGTTCGGACACTTCACTTCGTGGCCTGCGGACGACCTTGGCTACTACACTGGCGCATGGGTACAGTGACTTGTTGTGGAAACATTTTCTGTAAGCTAGCTTAGTAACATGCCGACGACGACGACGACGACGACGACGACGCGACGACGCGCGCATGTGTCCCGCATGGTATTTTTTGCAAGGGATTGTGGCCCCTGGCAGGCGCGCGAACGCCGTTGAAAGAGCGTGCGAAAGTAGCTCGCGCGAGCTCATGTAACATAAATGTTGAAAAACCATTTGTTTTTAAGGATTCGGACAGCGCGCGCGGGTAGAAATTTGGAAAATCCGTGCACGTGTTTTTCGAGGACCTACGGTGCGATTCGTGCGATTTTATGATACGCGGTGCTGAAATTCTTAAGAAACCCAATGGTGTTTGAAGATTTCGGCGTGCGCGCGCGAAGAAAAAACGAATGTGTCCCATATGGTATTATTTGACAGGGATGATGGCCCTGGCATGCGCGCAACCGTTGTTGCAGAAGTTCGAAGCACGTGAAAAAGTTGCTCGCAAGAGCCCGTTTGACAGAAATGTTGAAAAAGTATTGGGTTTCCTAAGAAATCCGCAAGAGCGCGCGGGATGAATGTTTGAAACTTTTGTTTTGAAAAACCATTGGGTTTTTCATGTTTTTATGTTAAAATCGCTACGAAAACTAAGGTTTTGGAAGGATTTCATCTTGCGCGCGCGAGTGTGCACTTCGTGTCATTTTTTTGCAAAGGATTCTTGAAGTTTGGTTATGTTAGAACAAGACATGTCATTTTATATTGTTTTTTGACAGGGAAAGCGGGCGTCAACAAAACAACCGGATCCGGACTCCCCCGTTTTGCCTGAGACTTCCTCACGAAAATGATGAAAATGTGGCTGCGGCCTAGGCGCGGCGAGGGGGGCGTGCACCAGGGGGCCCAACAATAATTATTCTTTAGAAGTAATAATATTCAACAACAACAACGACAACGACAACGGCAACGACAACGACAACGACAACGACAACAACCACGACAACACACGCAACAGCAACTGCAACAACAGCAGCATCGATTAGATCACCTAGATTGGACCAAATAACTTGCACCACGTATACTGCTCGACAAAATCTGCACAGCATAACTTTACCAAATACACTGCATCATATCGACTGCAACGCATTGATTGCATCACTTATGATGCACCACATAGGCTGTGTCACATAGCTTGCACCACGTCGGTGGCACTACGAAGATTGCGAAACACAAGAATTGCACCACAAGGTGTGCGCCACATAGATTGCACAACATATGTTGCAAGACACAGATTCCCCCACAAACGTTGCACTACATATACTCTATTGTATACATATTGATATACCGACATTGCACAACCTACATGTTGCACAACCCAGGTTGCGCACGATGTATCGCACAGCATAAATTGCATAAAGCAGATTGCGCCACATTGATTGCCCCATCTAGATTAACACAGCCTGCTGGAGACTCATAGTTTGGGGTGCACGCTGGCTAACATATGTTCCTAGACAGATGCAGGGCGGCTCCTTTCAAAAATGGGGCCTTCGCCTGCATGACAGGCCCAGTGAGCGCTTGTACTTCAAGAGTGCGCTTCCCGCAGCGAACAGGGTATCTTGTAGGGACCTATGAGTAGGTGGTTTGCGACAGAGGGGGGATTGCAGCATCGCTAATGCATCATGGGGTTACTCTGGCCCTCCTCCCCCTCCTGCTCCTCCTGCTCCTTCCCGTATCCTCCTCCTCCTACTCCTCTTCCTCCTCCTCCTCCTCCTCCTCCTCCTCCTCCTCTTCCCTCCTCCTCCTCCTCCTCCTCTTCCTCCTCCTCCTCTCCTCCTCCTCCTCCTCCTCCTCCACCCTCCCCCTCCGCCTCCTCCTCGTCTTTTTCCTCATCCTGCTCCTCATCCCCACATCGTCCGCCCCGTCCTGCTCCCCCCCTCCCTCTTCGCTGCTCCGCCCACCCCCCCCCTTCCTCCCGAAGGCCGTCCACGGCGACGGCACACACGAGCACCGACCGAAAAAACCGACGACGACGACGACGACGACGACGCCAACCGACGGCCCGCAGACGGCCCGGTCGGGGCGCCGCGGCGCGGCGGCGGCGCGGCGGCCCACCGCACCGGGCCGACCGAGCGCGCTCGACGGCGAGCGCGGCCGAGCGGAAACCGAGCGACGGGCACGCTCGGCGACGAGCAAGGGGGCGAAGCGAGAAGGAGAAGGCCTGCTCAGAG